GAAATGCTTAATAAGAATAGGGTTTCTTTTTGGTGTTACGAAAATGTTTTGGAAATAAAGATGGTGTTTCTATTGTGTCCATACTAAATGCCACGTGAATTGCTCAGTTTAAGACAGTTTATGTTACATGATGTTTACCTCAATAAAATACACAGAAACAAAAGACTAGAATGAGAAAAAGATTAACTTGAAAAATCCATCTTAGTCATTAGAAGACATTATCAGCCAAATAAAAATAACCATTCAGAAAATACGGTCTTACAAGAGCCTCAAGAGTAAATTAATTTGTTCTCAACGCAAAATGCATGCTCATCTCATAAACTGAGTATGCTACTAGTTATATTGTTCAAATTTTATAGGTAACTGATCTAAATGACAACTAGATAACTTTTAAAATATAAACAACTTTAAAAGGCTGAGGGAAATGTACCAGTTTGGAATAAGCAGAAAATTCAAACTTGGAAGTTTACTGGCTGAATGACCTGAAGTAAGTCACTTAAATCTTGCTGAATAACAGTTTCCTCAAAGCTTAATAATGAATTTTACTACTTTCTTGTTAATATTTACATTACATAGTTATTAGGAGAAGCCCTCTTCCCTTCTACAGTCTCTACCTACATTCTCTCCTAGGTAAGTTCATCTGGTCCCATGGCATTTACAATTTTTAAAAATTATTTTATATGGCACTGTATTCATCTGTTCAAAATTCAAAAGGGACAAAAGCGTGTACAATGCAAAATCTCCCTCCCTCTCACCCTTGTTCCTTAGCCATGCAGTTCCTTTCCTTGGAGGAACCACTGTCTCTAATTATGTGGGTCCTTCCAGAATTAGCATAGGCTATCTTTTTAAACAAACGGTAGTATACTGTACACTGTTCACAGTTATTGTTTGAAATTGTGCTTTTTCACTTGTGTCTTGGCGATCATTCTACTGTAGTATATAAAGAATCTTCTTTGTCTTTTTTCGGGAATACCTTTTCCATTCTATAGATACATCATAATTTATTTACTGATTTACCGAAAGACATTTAGATAGTTTCCAATCTTTTGCTATTACAAACAACACTCTAATAAATAACCTTGTATATCTGCCGTTTCACATGAGTGAATATATCTGCAGGTAAAATTCACAAAAACAGAAAAGCTTTAAGTTCTACTTCCATTCAATAGGGGTTCAAGGTACTGGGATATAGGAGTGAATAAAAAAAGATAAAATACCACCATTACATTCTAGTTGGGGACACAGACAACAAATAATTAAAAAACAAGTTCTATTGTTTATCCAGATAAATAATGAAAAGTAAAAACTAAACCTATATTATATTATACTCTAATATAGTATGTTAGAAGATGATAATGCTATGGAATAAAAACAGATAAGGGAAGAGGACTAGGGAACGCCAAGGGAGAGGGTTATAGTTTTTATAATAGATTATTACTTACATAATAGCTTATATGTTATTATAAATACGTGATTATTTATCCATTAGATTGGAGGGTAGGCCTCATTGAGAAATGACACAGTAAGCCATGTGGATATCTAGGACAAGAGCATTCTGGGCAGAGAAAAGAACCCATACAAAAGCCCCGAGACAGAAGACTGCCTGGTGCTGAGAAGCAGTAAAGCTGTCAGCGTGACTGGAGCAGAGGGGGCGGGGGGGGGGTTGATGGGAAGAGATGAGGGAACAGCTTGCTGGGCCTTGTAGGCCACTGTAAGGATTTAAGCTCTTTCTTTGAGTACAATGGGAAGTTCGTAAGATCTGAATCATGGTATCAATCATTTCCTTAATTGCCAAATGGAGAACACATTGTAGGGGGGGCAAAGTTGGAAGCAGAAAGATGACTTAGGAGGCAAGTGCAAGAATTCAGGCAAGAGAGAAGGTGACAAGGGTAGCAGCAGTGGTGGTGGCAAGAGTGGTCTTGCGGATGGAGGCAGCATCAGGAGGATCTGTTGATGGATTGTATGTGGAATGTCAAAGGACGGAGTCCAAAATTTTGGCTAGAACAAGTAGGGAAAACAGAGTTTCCATTAACTGCAACAGGAAACACAGTGTATGGAAATTTGGGGGATGATCAGGAGTTTTAATTTTGCAACGAGTAAGCCTGAGGTGTCTACTGGATACCCAAGTGGAGATGCTGAGTAGGTGGTACAGTGTAAAAGTCTGAAATTCAGGGGAGACGTTTAAGCTGGAGACATAATTTGGAAGTTTATACACTAATGATTACCAAAAATAGTCCTGATGGCACCCTAAATTCTAGAGGCACATATCCAACTGCCTATGTAATTTCTTCATTTAGATACCTCATAGGAATCTCAAACTCAAGTTGTCCGAAATGAAATTATCAATTTTTTCCTAACCCCAAACTTGCAGTCTTGCTTGGCTCAGTGAATGGCACCACTATTTCACTATGTGGTTCAGGCCCAAACCCTAGGAATTCTTGATTCCTCTTTCTCCTTCACATTGAAGTCTAATCCAGCAGCCAGTTCAATCAACTCTACTCTTTAAATGACCCAATATCTGACCACCTTTCCCTACGTTCACCCTGGTGCAAACCATGCTCATCTCTTCCCTGAACTCCTGTGACAACATTCTAACTTGTCTCTTTCTTTCAGAGGTGGGCCAACCAAAGTCTATTCTCAATATACCAGCCATGATGATCTTTTGAAACATGAATCTGGTATCTGGCACGTGAGTCAGATCCCATTTGGCTGTCACAGTAGACAGTGAATACTTGCTGCATAAATACCTGATGGATGAATGTATATTCACCAATGTTCTAAAGCAAGGTTAGCACACTTTTCTATAAAAGGTCAGAGGGTAAATATTTTCATTTGTGTAGGCAATACGGTCTGTGTTGCACCTACGCTACTAAGGCACCGAAGCATTCGCAGACAGTACATTCAAAGAATGAGTGTGACCATATTCCAATAAAACATTATTTACAAAAACAGGAGGTAGGTAGTTTGCTGACCCCTGCTTCAAAGTTTAAATACTATAGTAGCTTCCCATCACTCTTAGAACCACCATTAGAATAAAATCTAAATTCCTTATCTTGGTCTACAGGGTCCTGGAAGATCTAACCCATATCTGTCTTTCCTTCATCTCCTACTATTTTCCTATTGACTTATTTTACCCTTTTTTGCAATTTCTCAAATAATCTCAGCTTTTTCTGACTCCAAGCCCTTGGTATTTGCTGTTTCCTCCGCCTGGAATGTTCTTCATCCAGATCTTTGCATAGGTCATTCCTCACCGTCTTTCCTCAAAAGCTACCTGATCAGAGAATGTTTCCCTGACAGTCCAGCTTATTTTCCAGTCCCCACGATTTTTGTTTCTCTTCACAATATTTATTATTATCTGAAAATATATCACTTATTAATTTTTTGTTTACTTGTTTATTGTCTCCACTAAGAGGTATTTCTACAAGACAAGGATTTTGCTTATCTTGTCACTTTACCCACCGTAACTAGAATAAGGTCTTGTAAATAGCAGATGCCTAATATCCGCTAGATGCATGAATGGAACTAAAAGTATTTTAGAATATGTAGAGTGCCATCCAAGTAGCTGTACTTGTTATTCTTTTTGGAGAGAGGGGATGAGAAGTGAAAGGAAGGGAAAGATATAAGTTAGGGTGTTGGAGGAATATCACTGGCTTACAGTCGTGGGTTTGATTCCTTGGGCAAGCGTCTAAGTATCTGAGACTCAGCTTCCCTTTTTCTAAAAAAAGATGTCAATGTCTGGAAGTCGGTTCTAAGGATTGATGAGGTAATACCAAAACAAACAAACAAAAGTCATGAGAATCGACGTTGGTTCATTTGTCAAATTTTCCTTTTTTTAGCTGTAATGATGTATAGTGCTTAAGATACTTCTATCAATTATACGTTTTCAGAAACTGAATTTAACCTAAAAGAAAACTTTATTTTCAAATAACTTTAGGTATAAAAAAATAGCTGCAAAAATAGTACAAAGAGTTCCCATACACTCTTCACCCTGGAATTGAACTTTTTGAGTTCTAGATTTCTGTGCTTCCATTGGATAAAAGAAAAAGAGAAGCAGACTCATTTAGGCCCTAAATAATATCCGAGCAGCTTGACAAAGTAGTACAATTTCTAATATTTATTTTTAGGGAAGTGTCTCTGAATTGAAAACATTCAGTTTAATCATGTAAAACAGATAAAGTCCCCTAAGAGATTATGTAAACTAATGGCCAAATGCATCAGGTCTTTTCTTCTCATTCCTTAGGGGACCTGGCGAATTGTTAGCACTGTCACAGTGTATCCATTTTAAACAAAGTCAAACTATTTGCAAGTTTCTCTTGGATAGATTAACTTGATCCTTCTATAAACACAAATAGAAGGCAATATATCCAAAACATCTCATGCTTGAAGGGGTACTTGTAACACCAGTTCTATTTAGTTGCAATGATGCATTCAAATACCACTAGGTAATGCAACTGCTCAGAATTGCTGACAACACATTTGCTGCTAAACAAATAGACAATCAGTTGTCCAGGGTTCTTAACCATTCATGCCATCCAAACTCTTTGAAAAACTTCACTTCACTTGCTGATAAGATCACTCACTCATCAATGGCTGTCTTCAAATGACCTTTTATTAAGGATATTAGAGAACAAAGTGTGACTGAAATGATGTCACTATAAACTGTTTCATACAAGGGGATTAGTTTATGTAGTAGTCAAAGCATGTATCTCAGCAGAATTCTCTTCAAAGACGATATTCATAATTTGAATAAAACAATTGCTAATAACCTTAATGGTTTTCAGCATATCTAAGAAAAACATGGATCTCTACTCAGAATTTTACATTAATCGATTTTAAAAATTTAGCCAGAGCACCTAGGACACTGAGAAAAAAAGAATGAAATATACCCAAAATACCTATTAATCCACAGAGGAGAAAAGAACTAAGAAACAATATATTCTATAGATCTATATGATTATAAGATAATATATGTAATAAAATAGATATGTGAGATTAGATACCTTTTCTTCAGGTATACTGTAACGCACATTTTCCAAAAACACTGATGTATTTTCCACATTTGTATATCGTAAAAGAATATGAGCAAAATCTTCTTCACTGATAGTGCTCATCCCATTAGAGTAGGAAAGGAATTCTATTTCTAGAACTTCTGTCTGTAGGTTATCCATGAATCTATGACAAAAATATAGAAAGAATGAATAAGATAAATGAAGAGTGATGGCAACAGGTGATACTTAGCCTCTCAGGGCTCTGGCTTCCTCATCTTTAAACTGGGGACAACAAAAAGATCTTTCAGGGTAGTGATGAGACTTAAAAGAGTTATTGTGTAGTGCCTGGTGTTTACTATAGAGGACACTACATCCATGCTTATCACTGTGGCTTATACTTCCTTAGGAATATACAGGAAATAATCCAGATATCCAGGCATTTCTCATCATTAACTTCCCGTTATACTTATCAATATAATAACTAGTATATAGGTACTGATGGAAGCGCCTGTTTGTTGAAATCAGCGAAGAGGTGAGTATTTCTGCACCAGATGATTCTTTCTAAAGACCTTTCTGACTTTAGCATGTTAATATTTTTCAAAACAAATATAAAATTAAGCTCACCTATAAAAATCTTCAAAGTTGAGCTCAGCTTTTCCTTTCTTTCCAAAAAAGTGTACAAGAAGTGTAGTATCTGTTACTAAACTTGTAATGTCATCAGCACGCTTAAAAAAATCACAATTTAAAGGTTAGCTGCAGTAAACAAACAATAGGGATACCCAATGTCCCTCAAAGAATTTTATCAACATATAAATACCAAGAACATGAATATGTTAAAATTAGAATGAAAAGCGTAAGGCTGCATTAATAAATGCCATTACAGTTAAAACGAAGTTCAATATTTGAAAATAGAAACATGACTGAAATTGATCTTTATCCTAAAAAACTTTAAAGATGACTATATTTTCGGAAGTTTTCAACCTCAAATTATGCATATAGAATACCTGTGTTTTAAATTATCTAAAATAGTTGAAATCTTTTAGTAATCACCTAAATGTCTTATCTTTAAGTCATTTAGTTTGGATTTTCCTAATCAACCTAAAAAAAATCAGTTTTTTTAAAGGATGTTCAAAAGAGGTAAATTCTTCAGATATATGAAATATATGGGGCCGACAAAAGGATGGTCTTATGCTTCACAAAATAGTTTCTTTTGAGCATGATACTTTCCTATTGTATTCCATATTTATGATACTTTAAATAGAAGATACCATATTTTGAAAGAGAAACTATACTACTATTATTTTGGAATTTACATAATCTATAATTTATTTTAAAAGTCTTACATTATTTTTGAATGGATAAGAGAATAATTCCAGAGGACTTTTTCCTTCAAGTTCCAACAAGCGTATTCTTAAAATCACTTAAGTCTAGTCCTTATAAAGTTTAATGGCCTCTGAAAATAGTCCTTCTTTCCTTTAATGTGGTGACACAGATTTCCCTTTCTTTTTTCTCTCTCCCCTTCCATCCCTTCTTTTCTTCCTCTTCTTTCCTTCCTTCCTCACTTCCTTCCATTAACTCATATCTATCTTATAAACTCAGGTACAAAAATCATAAAATTCAAATGATTCTAACTCTCCCATATATTATCCTGGGAAATGTAAGAAAAATAAGAGGTTAAATAATAACTAACATTTTCTGTATTAAAAAAAAATAGCTGTAAATGTCCATCCAAAGGTACATATCTGAAATGTTACCTCTTGGCCAGAATTCTGTTTCAGAGAAAACATAAGAAATAAAAAGTATATACTTCTCTACAAAGGATAAGTTGTGTTCTATGATCCCTGATGGAAAGTCTCATCTTACCCATTGGCCACACACTTTTGGTAATCTTTTGATTCCTTATAGCTCTCTTCCCAATTTTTCATCAAGACAGCCTTTTATCCTTTAACATTTGTTGGATCTTTATTTCCCTTCTCCCTAGACCAAATATTATTAACTTCTAATGACTAGTTTGGTGTTACAAAGAGTACATCTTGTGATTGGTCTTTTTCCCTCCTACGTGCCTTTTAATTCCTGTTTTTAAGTGGTCTCTTTGCTACTTTGATTACTCAGGCCTCTCTTAAAACCTCCAACATGTAGGGTATCTTCTACTTTAAATTATCTAAAATTGTTGAAATTCTTTTAGTAAATTGTGTAGTCTTACTTAGGTTTGTTTAGCTTGTTTTCCTCAGTAATCTTAGGATTACATATATATATTATCTAGCATATAACCTCCTTAAAATTGTTTTGAAAGATCTCTACTTAGTTTAAGTTTGCTGACAACTCCCAAGTATTTTCAGGAGTTGGAATAACTTAGAAGTTTCCTATATATCTCCAATGAAGTTCTTTGAAGACCTGATTGCCAGGAAGAAAATAACAGCCCGGAAGCCAGGTGCCACATACTGTCTTATGCCTTCCTGAACAAGCTTATAATGGATGTTGAAGAACGTTAGTGGTGCCAGCCTTCCAGGGCTCTGCCTGTGACAACAAACTAGGGTAATTCTGAGTAGTTCTCAAAAGGCACTATTACTTTCACCAGTAGCTTTACGTTGCGGAGGCAGACTGCTGTTAAGGACAGGATTTAAAATCAGAAGACCTGAGTTCAGAGTTTTTTGACCTTTAGCTTCCTTATCTGTAAAATAGGCATAAACCTATCTACGATAATGATTTTGAAGATAAAATTAGACTCTGAGTGTAAATGAAGCATACAAATGTTATTATTGGCAGTCACAAGATGCTTTGGCATATAGCATTAAGACCTTTGGGGAAAAAAGGAGATATCTCATGTCAATTATAAACATTCCTTTGTGATTGTGTATGATCAAGTCTAACCCATTATTACCCATGGAATAGCTTAAGTTGGGGGAGAAAATATTTGAGAAGGCAGGCCTAATGGAGCACAGGAGTGGACGCTCTATCGAATCAGCAGGCAACATTAGGAACTGGGGTATCCATCTAGAAGCTAGAGGACTGGAATGCGGCGGGGAGATAAAGTTGATCAGAAGATGGGCCATGGTGTTTTAGACAAGTTACTGACTTCACAAATAAACAGTGGGGTGGTGAGCACGTAAGATGATGAGCCCAAGAGTCAGATTCCTGGCTTTGAATCCTGATGTTTTTCCTTATTAGTTAAGTGACCTCGGTGAAGTTAATCTCTCTGAGGATATTATTACCCTCAGTAATAACAACAGTACCTACCTTAAAGTGTTGTTGTGAGGATCTGGTAACACATGTAAATCATTTAGCACTATAACTGGCATATTGTAAACGCTCAACAAATATTATTTATTTTTGCCAAATCAATATATTTCAAGAAGTTGAAAAAGGACTAGACAAGACAGAAAAGATAATAATGTTGAAGCTTCATGCAAAAAAAAGTTTTACATGGCACACTCTTACTTTTTTGTTAACTGCAACTACACATGTTATATAGATCTGAAAAAAAAAAAAGCCTTCAAATGAGATGTCACAGGAACACCCAAAGTTAGTGAACTCAGCTACCATAGAAATGTTTTCCTTTAGTGCTGTGATGTCCTTTACCTCAAAACCTAACACAGTGAAATGAGATGGCTTTGTTTCATACAGGTTTTCAATAATGACCTCATTCTTCCAGCTTTTCTCATGCCCACTGAGCAGAGCAGATCTTCGTTTACAGTCTTTCATCATCAAAATCTTATTAGACTTAGGTTGCACTTATCCAGATAATCCAGAACCACAGAGGCATAAGTAACAGTTTGACATTAGAGAAAAAAAATTAGAAAATGGAAATGGTGAAAACTTTTCTCGCCCCATTCAATGAAACAGAGCACTGTTGGGAGTCATTGAAAACCATACCAGTGTTCTTAGTATCCTAACAGTGTTATATAACTTAAATCACAGGGGAGTTGGGACAAAAATAGAGACTTTATCCCTTTGATTCTTGTGCCCATTGTTAAAATAAAATGAATTCAGGTGTTTTCATAACAAAGCAAGAAAAAGCCACAAAAGAATCCCCATGGGCCATTTACATGAAAGGCCCTTATCTTTGTTGTGATTAAAAATTACTTTAAATAATTTCATCAAAAATAAAATAGATAAATTTGCATGGAATTAAAAATATGTAAGATATTACAGATTTTTAAGATACCTTTAACATATTTTTATTGATTATAATGGGATAATAATCACATCAAACTCTATCCAAAGGGCAGGGGGGAGGGAAATCAAGTAGATTTCTAAGCTTTCTTTCTGAACCAATTTGAATCCTGAAATACTTACAAACAATTCAATGTTACGGTGGCATCAGCAGTAACCTATAAGGAATTTCAATGAGTTGTAACTTAATTAAAACTAATTCTCAATTATCCTCTCTAATGTGGGAGGGTAGTAAGAGATAATCCCCAAATAATGATTTTATTTTAGAACACAATGTAAGTTTTGTTTTCGTCTTTCTTCTATCAGATTTACTTTCATGATGTTTGAATCAGTTCATTAATTAATTTAGTAGCTTATGATTATAATGTGGATTGATTACAGCCAATGGTATGCTAGTAAAATAAACTAGCTCTTTAGGGAAAAAAAAAAAAGCTTGATTTGTAGTGTATGCCTATTTCTATGGTATTAATACTTCTATCATGGCCGCTTTCAAGTACCAACAGGATGTCACGGATGTTGAGTTGGGAAGAGATGTACAGAATTAACTCTAGGAAGCCATAAAAGCCAGCTCCAAGCACACCTCTGACAGTTTCCATCTCGAAAAGGTCTTATGCATACCATGTAATCTCTGAGTGTATGTAAGAGCTAACTGGTCTTCTGATATTAAACCTCCCAAGATCTGAATTAAATTCAACATCAAATCAGTGGATTGTGTCTAATTGTGAGAATTTCTAGCAGAGTTAAATTAGATTAAAGATAGGCTGGAGGCTGAGGTGGACAATCTAGGATGGAGAGAGAGCAGTGACATGACTGTTAGTTTCAAGCTAGGTCACAGTTGGCTTGTACGACTCTTGGGCCAATGTCCCCATTTGCTCTTGTTTTTAGGCACTGACTACTATATGCCTGCATAAATGATTACAGAATTAAGTACTTCTAAAATACCTTACATGAAACATCTATTACCACTTTATGACTAAAAAATGGTTCAAATTTAAAAGGTAATTTTAAAAGGTTATTTACTGGTCATAATTACATCATATTTACATATCAGAAGTAAATTAGAAAAAGGGCAAAATGCTTTATTTGTTTTGGGATTTTAAAATTGAACACAACTGACAAAATTAACATTTCCAAGTATCTGTCCCAGTCTAGAGGTGCCAATTGAGTAACACTACATACGGATAAGAGAAGTCACACCTGATTTCAGTTTACTTCTCTAGATATTTTTAAGTGTAATTTTTAAAAGTCAAACTTCAGAAAAAAGAAATGAGAAGCCAGCTTTAAAGAGAAAAATAATGAAAAATATCTCAGTATTAAGACTGATAGTAAAGTTTTAAAAAATTCTTAATAGGATATATGAAATCGTGTTTAATGTAGAAGACAAAGCCCATCTTTTAAAATGACAAATCCCTAAGAACGAAACAAAACAAAAACCCGAAACAAAATGACAAATCCCTAGTAACAATGGCAGCATGCTGAGTGGGCGGGGGGAAGGGGGGAGCCCACCTGAGTGCAGCGATAAGGTGCATGTCTCTATGGAATTCAGAAACAATAATGAATAACAGTCAGTCTGTTTTTAGTTTTCTATGCATTGGCAATCCAAAATAATGTCAAGTTAAAATATTCCTCCCTTCCTTGACTGACTGCTCCCACCATACCTCCCTTACTCGCCATGGTAGACTACACACAACTAATATTCGGACATTTAATGTTTAAATCTACCATAACTCGAAAGCACTAGCTGTCTTTTACCAAGTTAAAAGTCGCAGCACTTCATGTAACATGGCAAAATTATAAGGTTAAAAGATTCAGTGAAACTGTAAAATAGTATTCTCAAATTTCTGAAAGTGATCCTTAAATTGAAAATAGCGACATTTCTTTTTAGTTAAGTTAGAAAGGCACGTTTTCTACAACAAGCAAGCTGACTTAACACAGACTGTTACAGGTAACCTTGCAGCCCCTGCCAGCACTGACATACTCGAATCTATCATTTATATATAGAAATTACTGCTTTACTGAAGAAAAGGGAAAATACAAAATTATTTTTGGTTTCATTATTGTAACTCTAAAATGAAATGAAGACTAGTTTAACAAAATGGCAAACAGTACAAGGTCCTGGTTGAGGTTCAATTATACCTCTGCGAGGTCTGAAAACAGTGCTTGGCTTGTATTACGTCTCAGTGTATCCCAATAGCTTCTGGAGACAAGTTCCTCAGCATCTGTTTTAAGTACCTGTAGAAGTTTTAAGAAGTACATCTGAAATCTAAAGAAGAGTCACAAAGAATGATAATTTATACACTTTTAAGTCTCTTCTAGCCAACCTTGAAAAGAAAACACATTAGCTTACCTGTTTTGTTTTCTGCTGCGCACAACAGTATTATATTACGTTGCTGGTAAACCCAAGGTATTTTCAAAGGTGTAATGGTATATAACCACTATTTCCACGTACAATGTGGCTCTGTCAAAAAGGATCACATTCCTCAGCCCTCCCCCATGTTGTCTACTGAAACATGCATAACTTCTAAGAAAATGTGAAATAAAAATTTTATTCACACCTATGTGAAGTAAATTCATTTGGACAGTATTTTGGTAATTTTGTAGCAACCTATAAAAATCATGCTTAACTTAAAAATCAATTATTGGCTAGTGTACATCGTGTCAGTGCATCAAAGAAAATGACCACATTCATATGTAGAGACACAAAATTTAAATTAATCTAACAGTTGTCAAAAAGAAATATGCCAGTTTAGGTTAAACCACTCAAAACTACTCAGGGATTTGGTAGGTATGTCTACTGTGAATAAATAAGGTACTTTCTAACCTTTTGCAAGGATAGGACACTAGCTTCTGTCTCAGTATTGGCTAATCTGAGGAAGGTGAGATCACAATTAAGGGCAGTCTAATCTTCATATGAAAACATAGAACTACAAGCTTAACTTGGGTCTCTGTAAACAAACACAATTAAATGCAGTTTCTGTCAGGATTTATCAGGGAAGATTTCACATGTTCAAAGGCTTGGTATTCCTGTTATTGTGAGAAGAAAATGCTGCATGATGTACGTAGGAGTGAGTGTCTAATGATAAGGAGAACTTTTATTTTTGTGTGTGTTAATTTTAAAATCTGGTGCCACTAACAAAATTACAAGGTGTTTGGGAGTTATCTCAAAAAACTAAGCTTTAGTTCATTATTATTAATCAGAACAACACTGCCTACTGCCCATATTTTAATAAAATCTTAATAATAAAGTGTTATTTAGCAGGAATCACTTATATAAACATAGACATACTTATTACCATCAGTGTAAATGCAGCAATATGTTAGAGAATCCACTCACCACACCCTCTAGTAACAAAACAAGCTTTAACTAAGCAGTTATAAGTCAAGTAAAATTAGCTGAATTTAGAACAAAGTTCATTTTTTTTTTATATAAGTATGGTAGAACGTCAAATGTTAACTAGATTAAATACTCTGCAAATATTATCTCAATATTTTCAATTTGGATACATTTTTTATTGTAACTGAAAAGGTCAGTATATGATAAAGAAAGGGATTATTAAACCTATCAAGCTAGAAAATCAGGCTGACTACACTGTTATTTGAAGGGCAACAAGAATGATTGATTCACTTTGTGAAGCAATGCCTCCTTCCTTTTTCCAGCACTGGTCACCATCACCACTCACACACTCACATATGTACATATACCAACACTGATGACATCAGAAGGATGTTCACAACATATTAGGGGAAAAAAGTAGTTTGACAAACTATATTGATATGGATCTCTATAGAAAAAAATACATTTTCTGAGCTTAGAAAAGAAGTAAATATATTTGGATATATCGATTATCTCTGGTGAGATTAGGATATGTTTTATTATCTTCTTTTTGCTTTCCTATATTTTAAAATATTTTAAGAATGGGGCACCTGGGTGGCTCAGTTGGTTAAGCAACTGCCTTCGGCTCAGGTCATGATCCTGGAGTCCCGGGATCGAGTCCCGCATCGGGCTCCCTGCTCCGCAGGGAGTCTGCTTCTCCCCCTGACCCTCCACCCTCTCATGCTCTCTCTCTATCATTCTCTCTCTCTCAATAAATAAATAAAAATCTTAAAAAAAATATTTTAAGAATGTTTATTTATCTATCAGGATCATATACTACTTTTTTCAATAAAAAAATCTTATTTAGCTTATTGGTCCCTCCTGCAGAAAGCTTTCACACTCAACATTTAGCTCCAAAGATTAAATTATGATAGAATATATAACTGAATTGCTATAACTGCTTATATATGCTGTTTTATACAGGCAGTCTTTTAGATTAGAGTTTCTGAAAAAAGGAACAATAGTCTCACAGCAACTGTTGCTATTCTTAGTATTAAGGGAAAAAAAGCTCATGTATCCGTGATTTTCTCAGCAGTCACAGATTCCTAGATGTGTGTCTGTTCAGGAGCCAGTATTTAATTTTTCAATGGCTTGGGTGACGGAATTGAGAGTAAATTTTCAGAACATGCAAAACTAGTAGAAAACTTTAATGTCAGAAAAGTATAACACAATATTTAAAATAAGTTTAAAGTAGCAATGAAAATCAGAATAGATTTTACAGCAAGAAATGCAAATAAAATACAAAACCAGAATATACGCCTACACACTAAGGAAAGACTGAGAAGAGAAATGCCCAAATATCACTAACTGAGCACTGTGATGGCTATGAAATAGATATTATAATGCTCTGATATGTAAATGTAGGAAAATTTGCAAAGACTTCTTGAAGTCTTCTCAGGGTCTTTGATTACTATACAAGCTTTAGGCCTCTTTACTAGAATGTTAAGGTAGGTGTAGACTTTTACTAAAAAAGGTAGAAGAAGACATAGATAGTTCAGAAGAACTTCAAAAATGGATGGCACAGGCAAAATGATGTCCCAAATGTACTGTATTCTGTAAGCCTGACACATTTTTTGCCTAAGTTTAGAGTCTCTTATTAGTAGAACTTCCTTTAACTTTGAAGTTTCGGTCAAGAATTCCCTATGCCTTTTTGGCTGAGCCAAAGTAGGATCTTACTGAAGGCATTTCATGACATTAATAATAGAAGGGAAGAAGGAGCTATGGTCTGAAAAATTCTTAGGTTGAAATCCTAACCTCCAAGGCGATGGTATTAGGAGGAGGTGGGGCCTCTGGGAGGGGAGTAGGTCACGGGGGCAGAGCCTTCATGAATGGGATTAGTGCCCTTATAAAAGAAGTTTGAGAGAGTTCCTTTGTCTCCTTCCCACCATGTAAGGACATACTGAGAAAGTGCCATTTATGAACTAGGAAGTAGGCCCTCATCACCCATCACACTGCATCTGCTACATGATCCTGGACTTCCCAGCCTCCAGAACAATGACAAATGTTTGTTCTTTATAAGCCACCCAGTGTTTGATATTTTTATTATAGCAAAATGAATTGACTAAGACAGAAGGAAAGAAGGAAGGAAGGAAATCAAAGAAGGGAGAAAGGAAAGACAGAAGGAAAGAAGAGAAAAGGAAGTTAGGAAAAAAGGACTGATTTCAAGAAGGGAATATATCACTGTGGTAAGCAGAATAATGGCTCCCTAAAGTTGTCTGTGTGCAGACAGGTAAATACCCTAGTTACAGTTAGAATCTGAGAAAGATTATACTCCGAGATTAGGCAAACTGGGAAAGCAAAAACAAAATAGCAACCCATAGAATCTGACAGTAAACTGTCTTTACTATTAGTGATACTCAAAACACAGAAAAAATAAAAACAATAAAAAAGCCTATATAATCTGTGCCATTATGACAACTGTGGCCTGAAAAACTATAATGTGAGACTTGTAATTTAAAGTTACATAGGACTGCAGTTTTCCACAGAAACACACACACATAAACACACACCCACATACACCCACGCACACCCCTTCCTGGAAAAAACACATACTTAGCCCAGTCCCTAATGAATCTCCACAGACACATTCCAACAAATACATATTCAAAATACAAAATTACTAAACACATAAGAACATAAACCACCATAAGTGAGAACCAACAGAAACAACAAACAATAGAACAAGACCTGCAGACTTCAGATATTGAAAATAGTAGGTATGGAATACAAAATAAGTTTAATAAGCTTAAGGAATATGAAGCTGTATTTGAAAGTATTTTTCAGTAAGAACAGATGACCAAAAATTAGTTGGTTGATCAGAAAAAGAACCAAATAAAACCTCTGGACATTAAAGATGGAACTACTGAAATTTAATATCATATTATATACAGCTAGGGATAAAATTAGTTAACAGGAATATAACATGTATAAGTTATACAGAAATGCAATGTGAAAAGATAAAAAATATGGCAAATTATTAAAGAGAAGTTAAGAGACATAGAAGAGAACATGAATATCTATGAAAGCTCCAGAAAGTAATTAACAAAGAAAATGGGAAAGAGACTATAATATCCAAAGAAATATTGGCAGTGAATATTCAAGAATTAATGAAAGAAAACAATCCCCCTATTTGAGAAGCCTGGTAAATTTCATGATAGATAAAGGCAAAAAGAGAGATACACTGTAGTAAAATTGTAGAATACCAAAGGCAAACAGAATCTTAAAAGTAGGTAGAAAGAAAAACAAGATCAACTACAAAATAGTAATTAGACTCAGAGCTGACCTTTCAATTTCAATAATAGGAACCAGAAGACTGGAATGATATAATTTGCTGAGAATAAATGTCAACCTACGATTATATACCTAATAAAATTATCTTCCCAAATAAGAGCCCAGATAAATAAAGATAAAAAATGAATTCATAGAATCAGAATAGATTGGGAGTTGCTAGAGGCAGGTGGTGGTAGTGTGGGGTGGATGAAGATGGTTAAAAGGTACAAACTTCTAGTTATAAGATAGGTAAGTCCTGGGGATGTAAGGTACAGCATGGTGACTATGATTAATGATATTGTATTGTATATTGGAAGTTGCTAAGAGAGTAGATCTTGAAAGTGCTCATCACAAGAAAAACAATTTGTAACTATCTGAGGTGACAGAGGTCAACTAAACTTATAGTAATCATTCTGCGATATGTACATATATCAAATTATGTTGTACACCTTAAACTGATATAGTGTTACATGTCAATTATATCTCAATACAACTGGGAAAAAATAAGGGCAAAATCAAGATAATTCCAGAAAGATCCTAACTCGAGGATATATTTTCTGAGATTAAGATTGTAAGAATTAGGAGAGAA